AAAACAGATTCCTCGCTTAAACGATCGATAACATCGATAAAAGTAATATTATACAATTACGGTTAGTCATGTGTTATATTAACAAGCGGTAACTTACTTTGTTGTATATCGTCCTTTTTCTGAGATATTCTTAATTACTGATCAAGACGAAAACTGTTCTAAAAAGTTGGCAGATCCTCAAACCAAAATAATTGAAACAGATATGCCTATGTACCGTGTTGTGGATCTGCTAAAACGAAGTGACAAAATGGTAAATAAATGACAGCACACGTTCAAAGAACTGTTGCTTCGTCTCATTCACCCAGGAAGACCTGGGACATGGAGTCATATATCTATCTATTTCCTGTCAGCCTTCTATCGACATTGATAAATGATAGTCCCATATCAATATAAAATGGTCATAGTCAATGGCATAACTATTATATATACTATTATTATGTGATAGCTCACTTAAACTACTTACGTAGATACAATTGAAGCACCAAAGTCGTTGTGCAGTTGAAGTCAAGCTGCAGTTGTTATCCAAGTTGTATTTCTAGATACATTGTAGTTCTATTGATAAATGCGATGATGAAGGCATTATTTAGGCGTGACACGTCTCGAAGTTATTGAGCTGTATGCTCATTTTACAAACATGAAAACCGACATGACATATATTTCACAGAGATCTCCGACCTCAAATCATCAATATCAGAATGACAGAAATCGTTCAGCAATGTGCACCAATGATGCTCTCAGTGTATGGATCATCATTCCTGTGATGAATATTTCTATCGATCAAGTATCAAAGTATACACTCACATTGATTGTTGGGGTGTCAGAGCAGCAATCAACGCTACTAAGATGTTGTGATGTTATTTTAGCTTTACCTCCAACGCATGTCCTCTGGAATGTTCAGATTGCAAGACGTCCATGTATGATTTTAATTCCGAAATTATTTAGCATTCTACCTGTTTGAATCTCTAAAGCTATTACTTTATATACTGTATACAGTGCCAGACATTAACCGTAACGCCTGTTGTCCTCGAAATCGAAGTCATTCAATGTTTAAGCTTTATCATTTCGTGTTCTCTGGGGTATGTTAATATATGAATGACATTGCCATCAAGTTCATGTCATGTACCTATTGATGCGACTCTAGCCACCTTTGATGTGAAGAGTTTATTTACCAACATACCCCATGATCTGGGATTGGAAGCAGTTCAGTTTTGGCTGAGAAAACATCCTGAGGCTATCGACACTGAATTTTCGGAAAGTTTCATTATGGAATCCTTAAGATTAGTCTTAGAAAATAATACCTTCTGTTTCAACGGAAAATTCTATCATCAAAGAAAGGGAACGGCCATGGGAACGAAAGTCGCCCCAACATACGCTACACTTGTGATGGGGTTACATAGAGGATATTCTTTACAGGAAGGTACACGATTCCATGTCAGAATCCATTGCCAAACATGTGCGCGAAACTTGGAAGCAATTCTTCGACGACTGCTTTTTAGTTTGGCTCTCAACCCGTGAAAATTTAGACATTTTTCTGGATATTATTAATAAGCTCCATCCTTCCATCAGTTTTACTATGGAGTCTAGCGAGAGCAAAATTCCATTTCTGGACGTCCTTGTAGTTAAGGAAGATACTAAATTGAAAACTGATATCTACTACAAACCAACGGACACCCATCAATACCTACAATTCGGTTCATGTCACCCCAGGCATACACGAACTAACATTCCTTATTCACTTGCGCGGAGAGTATGTACCATCGTGTCGGAAACGGATAAAATAGATTTAAGATTGAAAGAATTAATGGGGTATCTCAGGAAGCTAGGATATCCGCTTCGCGTCATAAATGACGCAATAGAAAAGTCTTTAAAAATTCCAAGACATACTCTCCTGAAACCTAATGAAAAATCTGTGGGCGATCAAATTATACCGTTTGTGTCCAAGTTCAATCCTAATAATTGTGATATCATGCCAGTCATAAGGGACAACCTCCCAATTTTACAGCAAAGCGATAAAATGAAACAAGGACTGAATAAATTTAAAATTATAAAAAGTACCAGGCAACCAAAAAATCTCAAGCAGATTCTTTGTCCATCCAAATATTCTTGTACAGAGAGTGTACCATGTGTAAGTAGATGTAACACACCAAGATGCGGCACGTGTAACATCATAAGTGAAGGTACTACTTTCCTTTTTGCAAATGGCAAGGGTTTCAATGTGAAAGCCGACATGAACTGCCGCAGCAAAGATGTGGTGTATGTTATGAGATGTTCGGGATGCGGCGAAAACTACATCGGTGAAACCGGCATGGAATTAAAAGATAGAGTCACTGTACACAAACAGCAGATTAAAGACCCTAATGTTCGATGCTTAAGTGTCAGCAAACACATTGATGATTGCGGAAACGGGAAATTTACTATTTTTCCGTTTTATAAATTGTATACAAGTAACAAGCAGCTGAGACTGGAAAAAGAACAAATGTTTATCCAATTGATGAAACCAAAGTTGAACTCTAGAATGTATTAATAGATTTGTCATTTCAATCGTAAATGTTGCACTGTTACTTTACAAATACTGTATATTTAATTCAAATGTCTCCCTACAATTGTTAAATTACTTGGTGTCGTCGCTGGAGTGTGTAAATACATTGTGACGTCACAGTTGTAATTTATGACGTCATCATAAGTATGACGTCATTATATGTATATGTCAGTTACACTGAAGAGCTGTCATGAGACAGCGAAAGTACTATGTATGAAACTGATATAAAGAAGATGATGGACTAACGTGGACTTTATTATTTTATGATGATTATATATATATATATATATATATATATATATATATATATATATATATATATCATTAACATTCAGTACCGACGAAATCGGACACTACATAATATATATATATATATACACACACACTAGGACCATATATATATATATATATATATATATGTATATATATATACACTCAGTGTACATGTAATATATAATAAAATAATAAAGTCCACGTTAGTCCAACATCTTTTTTATATCAGTTTCAGACATAGTACTTTCGCTGTCTCATGACAGCTCTTCAATGTAACTGAAAATGACATATAACATGAGGTCATACGTATGATGACGTCATAAATTACAACTGTGACGTCATAATGTATTTACACACTTTAGCGACGACACCAAGTAATTTAATAATTGTAGGGAGACATTTGAATTAAAACATACAGTATTTGTAAAGTAACAGTGTAACATTTACGATTGAAATGACAAATCTATTAATACATTCTAGAGTTCAATTTGGGTTTCATCAATTGGATAAACAGTTGTTCTTTTTCCAATACTAAATTTCCCGTTTCCGCAATCATCAATGTGTTTGCTGACACTTAAGCATCGAACACCAGGGTCTCTTATCTGCTGTTTGTGTACAGTGACTCTATCTTTTCATTCCATGCCGGTTTCACCGATGTAGTTTTCGCCGCATCCCGAACATCTCATAACATACACCACCTCATCTTTGCTACGGCCGTTCATGTCGGCTTTCACATTGAAACCCTTGCCATTTGCAAAAAGGAAAGTAGTACCTTCACTTATGATGTTACACGTGCCGCATCTTGGTGTGTTACATCTACTTACACATGGTACACTCTCTTTTGGTAGATTTGTCATTTCAATCGTACATGTTACACTGTTACTTTACAAAAACTGTATATTTTAATTCAAATGTCTCCCTACAATTGTTAAATTACATTGTGCCGTCGCTGGAGTGTGAAAATACATTATGACGTCACAGTTATTATTTATGACGTCATCATAAGTATGACGTCATATTATATGTCATTGTCAGTTACACTGAAGAGCTGTCATGAGACAGCGAAAGTACTATGTCTGAAACTGATATAGAGAAAATGTTGGACTAACGGGGACTTTATTATTTTATGATTATTATATATATATATATATATATATATATATATATATATATATATATATATATATATATATATCTATCTATATCATTAACATTCAGTACCGACGAAATCGGACACGACATAAAAAACGTAACACATCCATAACCTGTTTTTGTTATCATTACTATTTGATTGTGATTTATAATCATGATATTGTTCGAATCGTATAACGAACTCTGGTTTTAGCAAAGAGGGCTTATGATTATCGAAATGTTTTTTTGTCGATTATATTTATAAACCTTCAATGCAATTTTATTTGAAATACAGTAGTAGTTTGGTTCTTGGTGTAACCCCGTCGTGTCAATCACTAGCTCCATTAACTTGCAATGCACTTCATTTTTCTTTTGTGGGGTTTCTGTGGAAATGTTTCACATGAGAGAAGTGAGTGAGTTGGGGTTTACGCCGCTTTAACAATATTTCAGCAACATTACGGCGGGTGACACAAGAAACGGGCTACACACACTGTACCCAATTGGGGATCGAACCCAGGCCTTCGGATTGAAGAGCTAACGCTGTCACCACAGGGCTACCTCACATTCCCCTTGTGATATAAATTTAAACATTGATGTATATTTTGTTCACGTACACATACTAACGTTTTAACGGCAATATGTAAAGCACATTCAGGCACTTCTGTAAACGGTGAAATGTTATCGAATTCACGCGAATAAAATTAAATTTGTTGAAGCAACGTGATCACATTAGTTGTTATTTTACCAATGAGCAGAGAACTTATGTATCAGGTGAATATTTTTGAAAGCACTTGAATTGAAATATGTTTACCAATATCATTTAAGCATGCTTCATCATATGAAACATAAAACACATAAATAGTTAAATGTATCTTTATCAAAACTATAATTTTATTTAAAAAAATATATGATTGTTTAATATATGGAACATATTGGATTTATATTATACACTATCGTGAAACTGATGCAGCTTATAATCGGAAAGGTTAACATATTTCGATTACGCATCAACAGTTAACATCATACATGCATGTCATACATAAGTAAACTAACTTACCTTTTGCGACAAAGAAACTGAAACATATTGCCAGCACCACTACGTGTACATAGGTGGTAATTTGAGACCTCATTGTACGAAGTTCAGAAAGGTTCCGGCGGGGAAAGGGTATATACACAGCCAAGACTGTTACTCATGAAAACCCGTTTTATTTGGAGAGAGGACTTTATAAGACTTGCTTGCTATTCTGTGACCAATCAACGGCGCCGTGGGATGCACGCGGCAGCTGGTCACATGATCCTCGGTGTCGTCAGTCCCAGCGCTTGATGACTGTAGCGTGGAGCTGAAGCAATTGTTGACAAAGTGATAATGAAACAACAATTGTCCTCCCCCGCATCTCGTCACGCTATGCTTGTTGGTAAACGGTAATTGGCCAGTGAGGTAGCTCTTCCAAAAGCATGGACAAGTTCATCTTCCTGTCAATGGCCATTACCAGTTCCTTCTCAATCAGTATGTTGCGTGACGTTTGATTATGTTTCATGATAATGGTGTTGCTCAAGGTAAATGGTAATTCGTTGTCGATTAACTGCTCTTTGATATTTGAAACTTTGGAAAATTGCTTTATTCTTGAAATAGTGTCTATTTATCTGAACTTTAAAAGAAAAAAAAGTATTTTATGCTCCTAGAGAGTATTACACAGTGAATCCAGGACATAATTGAAAGAAAATTGTAATTAAATGTCACCGCTCATAATCGTTTTGAATTCAATATGATAAGAAAGTGGCTTAAATATGTAATCTAAACTAGCCAGATCCTCCCCGTCTCCTACTGCGCCTACTGTTTTATTTGAAATATACAGGCACATCACGGTATAAACCAGACATGGTGTGGTTTCAGTATTTGTTAAGCCTCGAGGTATACGGATCTATTTACCACTTAAGACAGACGGCGTTTGAAATAGATTGTGGTGTCCAGTTTTTTTAAAATTAAACGCTCCAACACATCCGCCATTGTGCCTGAAGGTACACGCTGTACGTTTCTCTGGGTTCATTTGACTAAATATTCTTTTGACGTTCAAGAACTTAATTTACTAACAGTTGTTTGTCTTAAATATTGTGCAGTCGGCAGTCTCATCAGGCTTCTCGTGGGATGGGTACAAATAAATCAATCCCTTTTTCATGAGAAAATGCAGAGTTCTTTGAAGCGCTACTGATAAACATGTTTTCCGACGACTACTCTTTATCAAAACAGGATCCATGATGGTCGTCATCATTTCCGGTAAATTACGGTTCAAAGTTTATCAGGTACATGGTGACCCTTGTGACCGATTTGTGAGACCTGAGTCATGAGATACATGTGGTTGGTCACTATTGGACATTCCCTGGCGCGCCTCTTCCGGATTCTATGGTCAGTGTCCAGTCCCAGGAGACACAGCTCAAGTATTCTGACCGCTCCTGGTATAGACGCCGTGCTTCACATCACGGAATCAACAGAGAACTGTGACCTCATCGTCGAAGCTCCCCCGTCTGTATACATTGCATTAAGTGTGGGCCCGGGACGAGGAAATTACGGCGTCAATTTTCGCAAACATACATCGTAATGGTAATGTTCCCTGCTCGACTGTCTCACTGGAAGCCTTCGCATTTCACGTATTTTCATTGTTTGGACAAACCCTGTCTCAACTTTCTTAATCCGGAATACGCCACTTTAGACCACCCAAACTCTGACATCTCCATTCCAGACACTGGCAATCCGGATACCATATTCCATATTTCAGACCTTCTAACTCTAGACCTCCCCAATCCGACCTCCTCACTCAGAACATCGATCGTCCGACTGCTCCCGCTCAATACCTATCAACATGAGACTTCTCCGGTAAATAAACCACAACTCCAAATCTCCCCAATCTGAACATCCCGATTCCAAATGTTTGCACCCAAAACCTCCCAAATCCAAACATCCCAAACCAGAGGTCCCCACTTCATACGTTTCACTCGACTTCTCGTTGTGACGGGTGGCGCCGGTGGGGCAGGTCACATTCATCGTTTAGCGAACACCTGGTATCATCAGTATTTGATTCATAAACACATGCTCATGATATCATCAGCATCGTAAATAGACTCTGCTTTAAGCGATTATGGAAAGGGTTTTGTCGTTTTGTTCTTGCCATATTTATTTCTGACCTACCCAATCCGAAAACTTTATGTTTCGTTTAGGACGAATCCAGGCTTTTTTTCTTCGAGTCTGGCCAACCCTCCCCATCACCCCAATCCCCATCCAGTCCCCACACGTATGTATAAGCTCCAAACAATAATCGAACAGTCTTGATAGTTCAAGTGAGTGAGTGAGTGAGCGAGCGGGTGGGTTGTTGGGCGAGCGAGCGAGCGAGCGGGTGAGTGAGTTTAAGTCCATTTTCAGAAGTAATTCAGTTATTTTAAATCATTTTAAAAGTGGAGGAAAACCCTAAGAGAAAATGGTCATGGACGATTGCCATTTTGCTGAAACAAACAAATATGGGTAGGTGGATATGTGCGAAAATAGGATTCAAACCCAGCATCATATAATTCTGGCGATTCTAGCTAAGGGACACACCTCTCTACAGTGAATAGCGGCGCCCAATGTGACCCACGCCACATGTTATAGAAAAACATGCTTCGTTCCTTAAAAAACCCCATTCCATTTCCGTTTGTTCTGAAAGAGAATGTATTCTGAATTCGAAGGCCTGGTTGTAATTTTGCAAAAAAAGGGTCAAAGAAAGATATCACAAACCACGGGATATTACGAGTAATTTCCAATGATGTAACGTGGTAGCCTCGTACTGTAAACTGCCTTCATTCCACGCCAAAACATTATCGTCAATCATAGCTGTGCGTTGTCAGCGACTGTCATCTGGCGGTCTTAATTACATTGTGAATATGCCAGACCAAGATCAAGTTTAGACCACAGGTGACCGTGATTACAGCATGATAATGTCTATAAAGTTGACCGCCCTGAGTCGCCGCACGTTCCACGGTTCTCATTAAAGCGGTTATCAACCTGAACAGGGAGCGACCGGGACGTAGGCTGCTGTGTGAGTTAATAAACAAGGGGAATAATGATGCACATTTGCAACAGCAGCTTGAAAAAGCACGTACACACCGACAAAAGCACGTGTTGGGTGTTAAAATTGCGCGAACCTCAACAGGGGGTTATCTCAACATTACGTCTTTCTGGATGACACAGGGACGGGACATAGTTCCTGATAGTTCTTCAAGTTATCCAATTAAGTACAAGGATAGAGCCTATTGCACCTACGTCTGGATGACCGAGGTCCATCCGCATTGGTACAATTTGTGAATCGCGGATACACACTGATATCCTGCCAAATACAATAATTCAATGTACCAGGGGGACAAATAAAATAAAAGCTGCAAAGTTATCTCCCTTTCTTGTCCACCTCCTACCCCTCATTATCTCTCTCTCTCTCTCTCTCTCTCTCTGCCTCTGTCTCTCGTTACCACTCTCTGTCCACCCACTCCTCCCTCCTTCCCTCGGTTGACCGCCTCCGTGGTCTGGTGGTAGTGCGTCTGCCCGGAGAGCGGAAGATCCGGGGTTCGATCGCCGGCCACGTCATACCAAATGACGTTAAAAGTTGGTACTTGTTGTTACCCTGCCTGGCGCTCGGCATTAAGAGGCTAAGACAAGGGCTGGTCGGCTTGAAGTCAGTGTTCTGTGTCTGAGTGGGTTATTCATGTTAAACTGCGGCATTGTATCTCAGTTGGCGAGCACTGCAAAAGCGGCATCAAACCGTACTAGTACAAGCAGCCACACACACTCACACGAGCATGTACAAGTGCAATAATCTTGGACGCGAAGTCAAACCCCATTTCACCACCAACCCTCGACCTTTCACCTCTCTCTTGCTTCTATCCATCTTTATCTCTTGTCACATTCTCTCTCACTTTGTGTGTGTCTCTCTCACTTTGTGTGTGTCTCTCTCACTTTGTGTGTTCTCTCACTGTGTGTTTCTCCCTCAGTCTGTGTGTCTCCCTCACTGTCTGTGTGTCTCTCTCACTCTGTGTGTCTCTCTCACTCTGTGTGTCTCTCTCACTCTCTGTGTGTCTGTCTCACTTTGTGTGTGTCTGTCTCACTCTGTGTGTGTCTCTCTCACTCTCTGTGTGTCTCTCTCACTCTGTGTGTCTGTCTCACTTTGTGTGTGTCTCTCTCACTTTGTGTGTCTCTCTCACTTTGTGTGTCTCTCTCACTTTGTGTGTGTCTCTCTCACTCTACGTGTGTCTCTTTCACTTTGTGTGTCTCTCTCACTTTGTGTGTGTATCTCTCTCACTCTGTGTGTTTGTCTCTCTCACTTTGTGTGTCTCTCTCAATTTGTGTGTCTCTCTCACTTTGTGTGTGTGTCTCTCTCACTCTGTGTGTTTGTCTCTCTCACTTTGTGTGTTTCTCTCTCACTCTCTGTGTGTGTCTCTCTCTCTCTGTGTCTCTCTCATTCGCTCGCTATTATCATTTTATTTGGAATAAGAAGTTTAGTCAAATATAACATATATAATTATCAGCTGTTTTTTGTCTTTAGTTTTTAGAAATCTATGATTGTGGGTTCGAATCCCGGTTCGCCCCGATTATGTTTCTAGGTTTGTCAGCACCATACCCGTGCCCGTGGGTTTCACCGAAGTGGTAAACGTCTGTGACCTGCATCACTTTGGGCTTTCCTTCCACATTAAGCTGACACGCCGCGATATAACTGGAATACTGTTAAAAGCGGCGTTAAACCAAACTCACTCACTAGTCTCCCTTTATCGCCATCTCTAAATGTCTTCATTCGATCTAACACCTCGTAGTCACTCATTGTTCAATCTGTGCTATTTTCTCTCCTCCGTGTTTGGTTCAAAGAGTGACCAGTGCAACTATTGGCAAACGGGTTCCAAGCCTTCCCATAAATCAGATTCTTCCACGGCATCAAAGACTGCATATTAGATAATTGTAAATTGGAACAACCGCGCCGGTGCTTTACAGCCCGATGACAAGTAGAATCCAGTGACCTCAACACATCACCATATAATCTAGTTATTCAAACCTATCATGTTCTTCTGAAACACAGTACCCACATGTTAAGATAGTGATTCAACGTTTACTCTTCTTATCGACCAGCCACTTAACTGGCGGTCCTATATTACAGAATTGTCTTTAATATATCATGATTCAGAGAGAGAGAGAGAGAGAGAGA